CTATATGTTGGAGTGGATGTGGAGCAACCGGAACTCTCACATCATTGGTGTGTGTAAAAAGGTAAAACCACTTTGGAAAAATGGCTGGTAGTTTCTTATAAAACTAAACATATGCCTTACCCATGAACCAGCAATGAGAAATGAAAATATGTTCATGCAAATGCTTATATAAGAATGTTCACAACAGCTTTGTTCTTAATAGCCAAACCCTGGAAATAGCCCAGGTATCCATTAATAGAAGAATCTGGAATAAATGACTGATACATGCAACACCATGAATGGATCTCAAAATTGTTATGCTAACAGGAAGAAACCTTGCACAAAAGAGCACATACTGTATGAGTCCATCTGTATAAAATTCTAGAACAGGCCCAACTAACCACAGTGGAAAAAAAATCAAAGCAGTTGTTGCCTCTGAGAGCATAACTAGGGAGGAGCATAGATTTCCCAAGGAACTGAGAATGTTCCATACCCTGGAAGGGTCTGCATTACACAAGAGTATGCATTTGCCAACACGTATACATAAGACTGCACATTTCCTTGTATCTAAATTTTACACTAAAAAACTATAGCTCAATATTGAATCCAAATTACTAACAAGCATGTTGATGTACATAGAGGAATTGTAATGATGTCTCCAGTTAATTTTGAAATGGATGGATATAGAGGAATGGATAGTTGGAATTATATATATATATATATATATATATAAAATTTATTTATTTGACAGAGAGAGAGAGATCACAAGTAGGCAGAGAGACAGACAGTAAGAGAGGAGGAAGCAGGCTCCCTGCTGAGAAGAGAGCCTGATGCAGGGCTTTATCCAAGGACCCTGAGATCATGACCTGAGCCAAAGGCAGAGGCTTAACCCACTGAGCCACACAGGCACCCCAGGAATGAGGTATATTAAAACAAGTGCAGTAAAGTAGTTACAGTGAGATACTGGCAGTGAGTGCATAAGTTCTTGCTGCAAAATTCTTTTAATTTTTCTGCATGCTTAAAAAATTTCATGATAAAATACCAAGGAGAAAAAAAAATACTCTGAAAAGCAAAGTATAAGAAAAAAAGACCTTGAGATGGTGAAAATTTTCTTAAGAGAAAAATATGCAAAAGATAGGTGCATTGGGGCGCCTGGGTGGCTCAGTGGGTTAAGCCGCTGCCTTCGGCTCAGGTCATGATCCCAGGTCCTGGGTTCGAGCCCCGCATCGGGCTTTCTGCTGAAGGAAGAAAAAGAAAAGAAAAGAAAAAGGAAGTCCAATTTCCATCCCCCTGCCATCCCGCCGATTCAAATACTCATCCGGCAAACTTTTATTTCATGCCTACCATGGGGAAGAGACTGTTCCTAGGGCTGTTGAAGTACAAACAGGACTTGTTTTGTTCATTCTAAGACATGGATTATCTTCACATTTTACCATGAGGCATGCTTCCTTTGTCACTGGTCCAAAACGAACAGTGCATCTCATAATGAATGGGCAACTCACGTTAGGTAAAATAGGGTGCCAGATACAGACCCCACTCTCCAGCGGCTTATAGAGGTTACAGTTACCGTGCTGGTAGCCAGTTTCCCTCACCTCAGTGGGAGGAAACCCAGGGTTTAGCTTGAAAAGGCTGAACCCACATTTTGCAAGAGATCGAACTGCCCTTCAGAGTAAACCACTGTGCCTCCAAAGCAGTACAGCCAACACACCTTGAAAGAAGAGTGAGGCAGAGCAAGAACATGCTAGTGAGGGCTCAGGAACCTCTGAAAAGATTTCTTCTAGGAAACACTCCCAAAGGCTAAAGGTGAGAGCCGGTTTCTTTCCTTTCCTTTCCTATTTGACTCCTTTTGCCCTTACAAAGTATGGTTTTACTCTTTATGAGAAAACATAAATGGGAAAAAAAAAAAAAAAAAAAGTCCTTCCAGAAGGCAAGGAAAATTTCTGGGGGCAATGAAATCTTTTTTTCCACAGCAAGAAAATACTGGGGTAAAGGAGTTGCTACCCGAACTCTCAGGCTCAAGAAAACTGGAGAAGCCGGCACGAGAGCAAGTCCTGAACTACCGTAGCAGAAGGCGATCACCGTGCACGCTTCTAGCAGAAAAGCTTAAGGGTCTTTACAGATACTGGAGAAGCTACAGACACCAGCCGGGGGCAGGGTCCTAACCTCCCAGCAATTATAAATGAGCTCTTTACACCCGTGGGATGAGCTAATGTGAAGGAAAGATGCCTAAGGGCACCGAGTTGCTAACAGCAGAATTACTAGTGAGGCAGCCTGTTTAAGAGAAAAGGAGGCGGCACCCTGTTGTCACAGAGCAGGGAGAGCCCAGAGCACAAAACGCAGAGCAGCGCGTCCCAACTTTAGTACAACAGGCAAGCTGGCCACCATGCCGAATTCAGAGACTTTGCACCATCTAACTTTCGGTTTTCCCACATCTGGCGCTTGATCCAGCCTGATCCAGCTGCATTCCTGAGTATCAGCTCACAGGTGTTTCTACTGACGCTTTTCCCTGTTGGGGAAAAACAGTGCGCTCAGAACTTGGGGTGGGGGGGGGCGCGGGGGTGTACGGTGCAGAGGTGGAGAGACTAGTGGCCAGGCAGACCTGCCAGAGATTTAAAAATGCACCACCTGGGAAAGAGTGTTGGGCCCTGCACGCCCCGCTAATGGAGGCTTCGGGGTTCCGAGGATGCGTTGGCAGGAAGGCGAGTGTGTGTGCTGACCCAGAAGGAATGCAGCCCCTTATTCCTCGAGCTCACAGAAAGCCTTCCAACAACCTGATGTCTTCCCACCAGGGATGTCAGGGCCACTTAAGGCAAAGTTTGATCCCTAGAGCAGGGAGGAAAACCTTTTTTTTCTTCTCTGTTGTGTGTCAGCTTGCCCTGCTGAATTTCTTTGTTTCCTAACTGAATCCCATCAGCGTGGCTGACTGCCTCGCTTGCTTGAAATGAACTGAGCTAAGAAACAAGTTTCTCAACAAGGCTGCATTCTCCAGGATGCTGAGAAGGGCAGAGTTAAGCTCAGCCCCTGCAGAGTGGAGGAAAATAAAATCCTATTTATTGCCTTACAAGAACATCAGAAACAAAAAACCAAAAAGTCTCTCCTGCACCCAGTTCAAAGAAGCCTGGCATATGCCATACCCGTGCTGAGGGGATAAATGCCTCATGGCAAACCAGTGGCTGTTCATCTTCTCTTAAATGAGGAAGGCAGCATGCCAGAGCATGGAAGAACTCCGAGTGGGAATGTCAGATTCCTTATTTATGAAGTGGACTTGATATGATGACCTGTACGGTCCAGGAGGACCTCAGACCTTCTCTGAAGCAGAGAAGAAAACCATCTCAGGGCAAATGGAACACAGTCTCAAACAACCCATCAGTCAGATCCGCCAAGACCTGACGAGCTATTAAAATAAGATCTACCCCTCGCTCCTATAAACAGTAAGCAAGTGGCTTGCTGACTTAGTAGGCAGCTACTACAGTGGGCAAGGACATCCGTCCCAGGGAGTTGCCTGAGCACCCTCTAGACCCCTGCCCTACGCCATGGGGTCAACCTTCCATGTTCAAATTCCTCCCCAAAGCCTGCCTCTTCGGCCCAATTCCGGGGAATGTCTCTCATGGACCTAGTTGCCACAAAACCCTCAGTGGCCAGAATTTTGGTAAGTGGGAGTGGAGGGAGGAGGCCTGACGACAAGTTCAGGTTGGTGAGTTCCAAAGACTCCGAGCATAAAGACACGGATTCTCTTCTCACAACTCCTTAACATTAACTAGGCCTTGAGTTCCCACAGCCCCCTCCTCAGCTGGTGAGTTCTCAAATGATGCCATGATTAGTGTTTGGTCAGTGTTTAAGAATTTTAATTAAATTGTAATTTGCTCTAGGTAAGTATTTTTGAGTATGGCGTCTAGCACAGCCCTTTGCCCTCCAGAAATGTCGAATGGATACATGAATCAATGAACAACCAGATACACTGGATTTCAGCTCCTGACTAGGAAGTCATGGCAGATCAATCACCTCCTCCACTCTCTGAGTTCCCAAGCTTTCCATCATTCTTCCCTCAGAAGCTGAGCCTGACGGAAGTCACAGGAACATAAAGCATCAGCTAATATATTACCTTTCAGAGCTTGCTTTAATATGGTTTCCTGGATTTGCGCAAATATCAGCGGGCCAACTTCTAAAAGTGAGTGTGCTCCTTTACAGTATCTGAAGAGGATCCGGGAAATCGAAACCTGGCCCTTTGGTTGTCCCTCGAAAGGATTCTTTGGGCTCTCGGCCATATCTCAACAGATTCTTTCTGCCCCAGCCACACCGCAAAAGGCTTCTTGTCAGGATTTCTGAGAGATTTTCTTTTCTCTGTCCCAAATGCACCTTTGGGAAGGAGTCTCAACCCCATTTGTGGAAGAAAAAGCATGTTGCTAACACAGTATGGGGCTGTGCACCCACAGACGCTCCAGTGGGAGGTCTGCCGGCTCAGCTGGGCTCTCGGCACCCCTCGAGGAAGCAAGGGCAAAAGTACTCCCGGACGATGGAAGGGCCACGGAGTCCGCACACGTGACCTCAGATGCCTTCTACCCTTTCCCTTCCGGTTCATTTAAAACGGCAACCAGAAAAAAAGGAGGTGCCTCAAAGACAGGCCGGAAACTACACCCTAGACCAATCTTCCTAGAGGTCCCGCAGGCCCCCGCCAAGGGCAATGGAGGCCAAGATGTCTCGTGCACAAACAAAGCACACAAGGCGTATCCATCCTCAAGACGCTGTCTGGGGCAAAGGGTCTGAGCTCTCCCACATCTGTCCTCAGTCACGAAGACAATCCTGAGAATATGCATGTCACGGGTACAATTTCCTTCAGCTTGCATGTGCAGGTCACATGCATGTGAATCGGACACAGCCCTTGGCCCGTGCAAGAAGGCCTTTCTGTATGCTTTATTATGTTTGGTTAGTGAAAACATGGAATAGGTCACCCTGAACGGCCAAGGACCCACGTTACCTACCGTTCTGCTCTTCCTGTTAAGAATTCTGCAAGAACGCCCATCTCAGAGACACACGGCAGGCATCTCGAGAAAGGCACCGCTCAGTGTCCGGCTGAACCTTCCTTCAGCAAAGCGGGCCTGGTCCCACAGGCAGAGCCAATTCTCGGCATCCGCATGAATTAGAAGGAGGCAGCCTTCCAAACGGAGGTGGTCAACATTTACCGTTCCCAGGGGAGACAGGCTCAGGGTGTCTGGAGCTGTTCAGGTCTTCTATGAGGCTGCCTACAGGGGGTCATCCCTGAAAAGCCCCCTGAGATCTGCTCTCCAGACCGCATCCAGCACTTCACCTGGGGCTGTAAGGGCTGATCTGGAATTAACCCGGAGTGGTTTGGGAAGAAGGGAGAGAATTCCCACTACTGGAGGGAGATCACTTTTCTGTGTCAGGAAGGACCTGATGGGGACCCCTCTGAATGCCCCAGCGGCTGGACTCCCCTCCCCAGGTGCTAGGGGGTGCAGATGGGCAGGAACCTGTGCCACATTTCAGAGCCTGGGTAGAGAGGTGCTGACACCTAGGGGTGGATGGAGAAAGAGCCAGTGTGGAGGGAAGGCCAGCCAAGCAGCTGGTGGGATCTCCTGGGTCCGGCTCCTGGGAGCATCCAAGGAGGGGTGTCCCTCCCTATCTCCTCCCTCTCTGTCCTCAAGTCCGCCACCCTCCACATCTAGGGAAGGTCCCCAAAAACCTATCCAGGAATCCTCAAACAGAAGGGCAGAAGCCAAGTTTGACTTCAATGAAAATAAGCCCATTCTACACCCTCTCCAGATTTCCATGGGCCTGAGAAAAGCAACCATTTTGGGGAGAATGAAGGGACAGAATATAAAGCTCCAAAAAGAGGCACCCACAGGTTCTCTGCTCCCCAGGGACACAGACCAGGAGGAAGCAGGGACTAGGCCAAACCTCCCAGGGGTGGCTGGGGAAGTCTTCTTACCAAACTCGCTCGCACAGAGATGTTCAATGATGGCTTCAGATTTTAACTCGTTGTCACATGGAGGACACACGGTTGTGCCTAGGAAGGGAAAGGAGGAGAAAGAGGAGCCATGAGTGACAGAGATTGTGATCTGGAAGGAGCCAGCCCTGGGGAAGAGGTCAGCCCTAGGACCAAGCTGAAAGTAATTAAAGGTCTTCTGGAATTTCTGAAGAGCAGCTGGAGAATCAGAGTCCTGGGGCCCTGGACCCAACGCCAGACAGACACAGCCTCTTTCTTTCTTTCTATCTTCCTTCCTTCCAAGATTTTATTTATTTATTTATTTGACAGAGAGAGAGGGAGAGAGAGCACAAGCAGGGGGAGCACCAGAGGAGAAGCAGGCTCCCCGTAGAGCAAGAAGCCCGATGCGGGGCTCGATCCCAGGACCTCAAGATCATGTCCTGAGCCAAAGGCAGACGCTTAACAGACTGAGCCACCCAGGTGCCCCCAGACACTGTTTCTTGAAAACCTGGGGGCTTGAACTGTGGAATACGGCACAACCGTTTAACCCAACCTTATCGGGGCAGCGTGTGAACTGTGGCTGGACTGGGAGTGCTCACCTATTCCAGCCGTTTGCTTCTGGTTCTTTCTCCCCTCGTCCTTAACTATCCCTCTCCGATCCCTGTCCCCTTTCCCATTCCCAAACTTCCAAAGGGACAGCAGATCAATCTGACCTGCTCCCTAGGAGCCAAGAAGGAAACTCACCAGACACACCAACTCAAGCTGCCGGCCCGAGCACCCCTCTCCAAAAGGGCTATTGCAGTGCGAGTTCCTGCCTGCGCTGGGCTGGGAGGCAGGAGCAGCTGGGTGGGGCTGGGGCTGGGGCTGGGGCAGCGACAGGCGAGAGCTGCCAAATGGGAGAGCCGGGAGGGAGGGGGGAGCAGGAGGACCCTCTGAAGGCGTTTTCACAACACTGTGAAGTGCTTTGAAGAGGAGGGGTGTGTGTGTGTGTGTGTGTGTGTGTGTGTGTGTGTGTGTGTGTCAGGCATGGCACAGGGGAAGCAGACTTCTGAGGCCAGGGACAGAGGCCTCCTCCAGGCCCAAATGCTGCTGGAGGGGGATTCCCCCAGGGGGTAGAGTGCCTCTGTGGGAGGACAGGGAAAAGGCGGGACAGTGGACTCCCCAGACCATCCCCTCCATCATCCATCGGCCACTAGGAGTTTAATCCATGATCTAGGAAATCTAGCACATTCGAAGGTCACCCACCCCTGGCAAAGCACAGAGGGGCCAAGCCAGGGTGGCGCTGAGAAGCAGAGGAAAGTCACCCCGAAGTACAATGGTAAAATTGAAGGCCTTTTGTCCTCTTCCTCCTCCTCCTCTGTCCTTTCCAGTGGCCTCCGTGGCAGAGTCTCCTGTCCGTGATGTCCCCTGGGGCTCATCACCGTCACCAAGGTGGTAACACTATGGAGGGAGCTGCACAGCCCTACCAGGCCAGCGCTGCTCCCTAGGACATACCCAGTCCTCAGCCGGTCAACCCCACTTCCAAGCAGGGTCCCCCTGTGGCCCAGCAGGGACCACACCCTTTCATCTTTCTTAGGATTCCTCTCCCACCTTGGCTCCATACCCAGGGCCAAACACCATCTAATTCTCAGTGCGGCAAGAGCCACAGCCACACTCCAAGCAGAAGACTGTGTGACTGTCTTTTGGCCCAGAATTTGGAAATTTGCTTTTCAGCCAGAACTTGAAATTAGGTCCTGGAGGTAGTTTTTCTGACAAAGGGAAAAACTTACCCAGAATTTTGCATTATGGTTCTTGCTTCCTTGGGGAGAAAAACAGGGAAAGGAGGTCCTGAAGTATGGGAAGGACCATGTTACCTATCCCAGGAGGGTGAACCGGGCTTTGGGATTTTCCTTGTTTTCTCTTTCTTTTCTTTTTTTTTTTTAAGTAGAAGTTATCACACTGTAAGTTTCTATGAATATAATCTTGACTGAACAAGTAGCAGGGCCCCGGCAGTGAGACTATCAAACACTGTCCCCAGGGCACACTCCCGTCACCCCTCTGGACCCTCTGAGTTCCCCGACAGGCTCTGTAGCCAAAGGGGGCATTTTCCTCAGGCCCACCAATGAACATTTGACCTTCAGCGCCTCTCAAGGTAGAAACAGCTCACAGGGTGAGCTAACCCCTATCTTGACTTTTCTTATGGCTGACTCTGGAGTAGCTTGATCCAGGGAAAGGAGGAATGTGTAAAGCAATATTAATCTATGCCCCCTCTGGTGTGTCCTTGGGGCCCTGCAGGCCACCTCTGTAGGAGAAACCCACCATCCATCTGAGAGGTAGAACTAAACTGCTGTTTGAAGGGAGATTTAAAATAACGTTTAAAGCAAGGGAACCCAAAACTGAAGAATTTTGTGTTTCATTAATATTTTAGGGGGTGGAGAGGAGATGACAGTCCAACACTAGAGTCACGATTAAGTGATTTTTTAAAAATCAGGACATGTGCACACAGTGCTCTCTCTCTCGCTCTCTCTCTCATACACACACACACACACACACACACACACACACACAAAATAAACACACACAATTACACACAAACTTTCTCCCTCACACACACAGCAAGTCTTCCCTGGCCAGCTCCTTCACATCCTGAGACAAGACCTTCTGGAGGCTCCCGGGAGACAACGAGAGCACCGTGGGCCCTGCAATCCATGACTAGAACAGCCAGACTGATCTAACACGCAGCACATCTGAACAACAAAAAAATTAAACTAAAAATATAACCTCATTTCATACAACTTCAATCAGTGAAACCTGGCTGGAAGGGGAAACCACCATTTCCTGGCCTGGGAATGGGTAGATCTAACGTAAGCACAAGATGTAGAAAGAACTTTCCTGGAAAGTTGCTAAAGTTATGCCTTTCCTATGCCACACAGGGACAGTTGATGATGTAGCTGGGGTGTCAGACTTTTGGAGGGAAAAGTATCTTTTGACTTTTCTCTCATTATCAAGTCGATCTTTACTAACACAAGGATCTTAAAGTGTGCCCAATACCCCCAAAACATGCCCAATTACGTGAAGAGCATGCCAAGATATGCATTATGCCTTGAAAATTTGGCTTTAATTTCAAAGACTAAAGAGAAGGGAGAATAAAAGTAGTACCTATGTATTTATTCTCACCCTAAAGTACCAGTTCCCATTCTGGAACCCAAGCCATAAGCTCATGAGGACTGGTAGTTTGATCTGTCTCAACCTGCCCCACCACAAACACACACACACACACAGCCCTCCCACCTCCAAGCTCAGCTGGCAATGGCCATGTGGCCTCTCTGGGCAGAACCTCTCACCAAAACCAATGAGGGGAGAACCAGTTCCCAAGCCGCACACCTGATGGGTCCTCTCAGGGCTCCTCTCTATTCGGGAGCTGGCCTTGGGAGGGTGCTACCCAGGCACTCAGGGGCTGGAGGGTAGGCGAGGGGAGGATGGTACCAAGGCCCAGACTCAGGAGGGGGCAGTCCGGTGGAACAGCAGCCCAGGAGTCAAAGGCAAGCCAGCAAATCTAGGATATCCCCCCACTCCACTCCAGCCTTTCGGGGCAGCGGGGTGTTGGGTTGGGTCGGAGGATTCTTCCCGTTTTATCCGTAGGCACCTCAGCCAGTCCCCCATCTTCCCCGTAAAAGGTGTTCCCCCAAAGGTCTCCATGTGCAAGGGCTGTTCCCAAAAGACAGCTGGGGGTGGAGCAGAGGCCTGTGGAGCAGAATGGGCTCATCTCCGGGCGGGCCAGCGGCCAGCCAGCGAGGAAGGGGAGAAGGAAAAGCCTGTGGGCTGTAGAGGATGGCCCCACACCGGCAGAACACGAGTGCTTTGTTTGCTCTAGGTAACCGCTTAGCTCTTGCTCCAAAGGCCGGCAATTCCCCCAGAGGTTAACCCTATGCAGACACCCAAGAAGTGGCCGGTGCCCCGGCCCCCCCACAGCCAGACTGCCGCCTCTCCCACCCGCCAGGGGCCCAGGCCACCTGGGACACTTTGGACCAATCTCCTCCCTCCCTAGAACACGCAGGAGCATTTGAGGCTTGCTTTCCCCATACTACTGTCGTCACACTGGAAGAGTAAACTCTTCAGAGGACATCTCCCTTTTAGGCATCACTTCAGGATGAACCAAGTCAGCCAACAGCCCGACCCCCACCCTAAACCCCTTCCTCCAACCCCCTAGGGGACATGGGAGCCTATGCTCAGGGCGCCTAGGTATGGTTCCCCATTCCGGACTATAGTACTATGGACACATCTTTCTTTCAGCCTCAACTCAGCTTCTGAAGAATTTGCTCCTTTAAAAGTCAAGCCACTGCACTGGATTTTTTTTTTCTTGTTTGTTTTGATTTGTTTTTGTTTTTGCCTCTCCGGGAGGGATTCTTTTTTCCCTTCCCCTCCAGAGCTTCCCTTTAAGTGGGAGGGGTTCTAAGAGGAAGCGCAGGCCTCCTCCGTGGGGCTGTTAGGAAAGTCTCCAATTTGCGTGGCCCCACTCCCCAAGGAGAGATGAACAATGAGCTAATTGCATTTTTATCTTTCTAATTACCTGAGGATTTGTGTAAATGGGAGAAGCAGGGGGTATGCAAGAATGAGAGTACACGCTTTCCAGCCCCCCAGCCTCCCCAACCCTGAAAAGGGTGGAGAAACAGAAATCCTGTTTCTAAACTTTTTTTTTTTCCTCAGCCAGTTCTGCAACCCTCCCGGAGCTACTTGGCTGAAGGACTAGCTAAGGAAAGCCCGGGAAAGGGGTAGGGGGGGATTTTTTTTAACCCTCATCCAATTTATGAAAATACACAAAGCTGCGCCTTAGCATTTTCTCGGCCTTTCTGGGCTTTCTACACTTTGGGTTTGGGGTTTTGTTTTTTTTTCCCCCTCCTGGGGCATCCCGTCTCGGTGTTAAAAACTTCCACGGGGACTCGGTTCCCTCGCAGAGGGAACAGGCTTTGTCTCAGGTATGAAAAAGCGAGCCTGGATCCCAGGAACAGCCGCTCCAGCACCGCATCGAGCTTGCGAGGGGCCCAGGCGCAGCCGCCGCTGCCGGGCAGGCCAGCCGTGCACCTAGGTCGGCAGAGGTGCCAAGCGACACCTCGGACGAACGAGAGGCTTTTTAAAAACTCGTTCCGCACAGCTTGCGAGCGACCTCCAGGAAGCGCGTCCGAACTCCGGGGAGGAGCGGCCGGGCGGGAGTCCGAATGGCAGGGGCTTTCCCGCGGCGGGTCCCCGGGGCCCCAGCCCGCTGGGGCTGGGGGGCTCGCGCGCGTGGGAAGGGGCGGCCTGACCTTGGGGCTTGGAGGCTTCGGTGGCATTGGGCGGGGTCATGGCGATGCAGACGTCCCCCTCAGGGAACTTGTCACACTTGAGCATCTCGGGCCAGTAGAAGCCGAAGAACTGCATGACGGGCTCGCACGAGTCGCGCACGGCCTCGCAGAGCCAGCGGCACGGGTAGATGGGCCGGTCGAGGCACACGGGCGCGAAGAGCGAGCAGAGGAAGACCTGGGTGCCGATGTGGCAGTTCTTGTTGAGCAGGGGCACCCAGCTGCTGGCCTGCTGCTTCACCTCGGCCATGGTCTCGTGCTCCAGCAGGTTGGGCAGCACCATCTTCTTGTAGCCCACGTTGTGGCACAGCCGCAGGTCCACCGGGATGTCCACGCACTGCGGCGGCTTGGTGTAGAAGCGCCCGCTCTGGTAGGAGCCGATGTCCGACTGGAAGCTCACGTAGTCGTACTCGCTGGCCGAGCCCGCGGCCAGGAGCCCCGCGGCCAGCGCCAGCAGCACGCCCGAGGCTGCCCAGCGGCGGCCCCCCGCGCCGCGCCCGCTGCCCATGCTGGCTCGGCGCACTCGCTCCCGCGACGTCGGGGCTGCCTCGGCCGCCTCCCCGCGCGCGTCCCGCCGCAAACTTCCAGCGATCTCCGGGGACAAAAGACGCCGTCCCCAGCGCTGCCCGGCTCGGTGGCCGCGCGCTCCTGCCCGGTCCTCGGCGGGTGGCGGCCCTCGGCCTGCGGCGGGAGCTCGCGCGGGGAGGGGAGCGCGCGCGGCGGCCCGAGTGCGGCCCCGGCTCCCGAGCGCGCGGTGGGCCGGCGGGCGGGCGGGCGGGCGCGCGGCACCTACTCCCGAGGCTGCAGGACTCGAGTGCCCGGTGCTCCTGTAGCAGCTCCCTCGGAGTCTCCCCGCGCAGCCAATCAGCTCCCGGCTGCGGCGAGCCGCACTCATTCCACACGTCAGTCACCGGCGCAATTCACCAATCGCTTCGCCGGCAGGGGGGTTCGGTCGACTAGAACTCAACCCCGGTCAACACCCCTTAAAAAACAAAACCAAAATTAAATAAATAAATAGCGGAAGAAGTGGGGAAAGGAGAGGAAAAGAAGAAGAGGACAGGGAGAGAAAGAGGGGATGGATTTTAACCCACTGAGCCACCCAGGCGCCCCAAGAGGGGATGGATTTTAAAAAGAAAAAGGGTGTGGGGTGGATAAAGAGGGGGAGTTAACGCTGGTCCACTTGAGTTGGCTGGAAGAGAAGCAAGAAACCTTAACAAGTACAAATCCACGCGATAATGAAGACTTTTTTTTTTTTTTAATGCTTTTTCTAATTTCAAGCAGCAGCCCACCAGACAAGCAGCCCACCTCTTTGGTTTTGTCCTTCGTAGCTACAATACAAAAGCAGACGGTTTGGGACAAAACCCAAACCGGGGCTCAGGAAGGCTGAACCCACCGAGGTCTGCTTTTAAATCGCCAGCCAGTCCGGCTCTCGGCTCCCGCAAAACCAAGGGGGAAGGTGTAGATGGGGCTGCTCGCGGGGTTCAAAAGGCAGCACCTTTCCAGGTGGGACAACCAGACGACGGTGGCCCTCAGACAACATGGGGGCCCTGGGTCCTTGCTGCAACTCCGCTCCGTGCGGGAGGAAATATTGCCCAGGAAGGTGTTAGCTTTGGGAGGACGAAAAAAGGAAGTTAAAGAAAAGAAAAAGAACTACTGGAGTCCCAGCCTGATAGCACGTCTGGTGTGCACACATAGACACATTGACATGTTTGTGGTGTAGAAAGCCAAAACATTAAAAACACATGTGCACTTATCGGTGGGGCTTGTGTAAATAACAAGCCCATCGCTCAGGCACACATGCTCCATTCACAGCTGGCTCAGGAACCTCAGGTCAAAACCAAGGGTCCCCATCATAGCAGAAGGTGAAAAAAGTGTATTAGCAGAAACACAGCTAGGCTCTCTCCCCTAGGAAACCCCCTCCCCCAAAGAAACAGAAGTCTCCCCAGCCTCCCAACACCTGGAAATTTTTTGTATATTTTGAACATCACCCTGAGAGGAAGGGTCAAGGTCCAGAGAGCTGGGAGTATGACCATGACTGACCCCAGGGACAGGTGACAATGGCAAGCGCCTATGAAGTTGACTAGGTCTCCACCCTGCTCGTATCTTGAAGTGCGGGTGGAGGGGAGGCCAAGGATGCCGAAAACCCGCATCTGAGCAGTGTGATACCAGCCCATGTGGCAAATGGGCCACAGAGCTCAGAGCTCAAGGCAGACACCATAGGAGGGGCTGCCTCACTGGGCCAGCTTGTTTGTAAAGCTCTGGGGAAGCTTGCTTTGGACTCTGCAGACCTAATTTCTTGATGGACAGATTCCAAGTAAAACTACCAGAGTTTGTGAAGAAGTGAGCTTCTTTTCTTAAAGCACTCATGCCCATACAGAGATTATGATTCCACTGTCCACCCTGGAAGCATCTGCAATCGGTCGGCTGCACTGTCATTTCCTGGCTCATGAAAGGTGCACCAGAATAAGAGGGGCAGAATGGAGGGAAAGAGATGAGAGCCACAGACCAAGACTTTGGATGGCCAAGGGTTAATCCCTAAACAATCGGCCATGCTCAGCCCCAGAAACTGGGGAAGACATTCCTCACAGAGAATAGACTGCAGGAGACCGGGCAACTGTGTGTCTCAATTCGAGGGGCATTTAGAGAAAAAATGCTGTTTGGTAGGGGGTCTTTCTCTTTCCTACAGCCAGGCCCTGGGTCCCGAGCCAAATGCGTCTGTTTACTCCCGCATTGGAAAGAGTTGTGTTTGCAGATAACATCCTCTCACCTCTGAAATCCAGGCTTAGCTGACCTCACACACATGTTTGCAGTCTCCCCAGATGGTGGAAAGACTTGGGTTGGGGTCTGTCCACCATTAAAATTCTGAAAAGTAGCCCAGGTGACCGCACCTCCCCCAGTCTCAGAGGGTCTCAAGCCCGGAGTAAACCTCACAGTCCCACTTATGAGAGGACCTGGCCCACACCTGGTTGTCCCTTGTGGACTTTGATCACCTCTAGCTCCTAATTCTCCATTCCATCTTACTGCTCAAGAGAGGGGCCTCCTGAGCCTTACCAGGGATACAGCTGTCTGGACGACAGACATGGAGTGTGGGATAACCAAGAACCCCAGAATCCTAAACCCGGTATACTCCTGGCTCCTCCTAGGTCCCAAGGGGAAAGGAAGGATGACTCAGTCTCAACACCACTGATAGACCTGAACCCACACCTGAGATTTTGATGAATGACTGCCTGCTGCTAATCAGTTCATGCATGTACTATATACCAGCACTGGGCGGGATAGCCTGAAGACTGCATTTTAGAGGTGCCTACAGGTTTTTGTAGTTGGATTTTGGGGTTTTTTGCTCCTTTCTCATATTATCAAAACTTTGTGCTTTCCCTAACGGCAACAATGTGTGTATGTAGAGGAGAAAGTTCTAGAGCAAAATTTCTTTAAACATGCTATTGACATGACAGAGCTCCCAGAAATCAGGGTTCTAGAGCAGGAGATCTGCGAGCCAGGAGGCACACCTTCCCTCTTTGCATGGTGTAAATGAGCAGGGGGAAAATACAACTTTAAACTTGTGTTTTTCATTTCAAAAAAGTTCTGATTTTCCCACACTGCCAGATGCCTATACATGAAACTTGGAAGTACATTCCCTGTTGCTTCCTTGCACCAGCTTAAGGAGGCAATCGTTGTCTTCCCCTTGCCCAGAGCTGAATGTTGGGGCCCAGCAGAGCTAAAGAGGGGCTTCCCAGGTGCCTACCTAGTGGCTTCCTCCCACACACAGAGCTCCTTCCTGCCCATTCCTAGAAAAAGGCGGGTGGGAAGGGGAGTGCTTTTCAGTCTCTTCCTCCTATTCTGTCCCATTATCCTATCACTAGTGGTCTTTCTGACACTCCAGAGCTACCCAGAGCATCCCTCCATCAGCCGGGAGCAATGCAGTAGGGCAAGAAGGTGTCCTGCGTGTAGCTGGGTGGTGGTGGGTCTGATGCAATGCAGAGGAAAGCATTCTGGCCCAGAGTTAGGAAATCCAGAGTAATGCCTTGGTTCTGCTGTTCGCCGCAGGTGGGGTGCCTCGGTAACTCCCACTTTATCCCTCTGGCTCTAGAGTTCTCATCTGTAAAGCAGAACTATTAATGCCTGTCCTGCTACTTCAGAAAATAAAATATGGTACCTGCTTCTTAATATTTTTAGTGTAAGTATGTCCCAATGATTGCATGGGACATACTTATACCATAAATTATTCCTGTTTATGTGAAATTTAAACTGAACTCCCAGGTCCTATATTTTATCTGGCAAGCCCACTGCCCATCCTTCCAGCAGCCTTGCCTGGCCTCCTCTCAGTCCATCACCTTCCTTCTCCACCCTTAGTCAGATGAACCCCTCTCTCCTCCCCGCACCCAGAGCACTTGTGGACACTTCATCACTGCATTTACGTGGACATTTAAAACTGTTTCCTCTGGGGTATCTACTGTTTGACTGTGAGCCTGTGGAAGGCCAGGATCTTGTCATATTTTGTCTCACGTGGGCATTCCCCCTTCTGTGACTGTTCCGGGCATACAACCAGTACCCTGTCACAAAAACAGCACTGGGATGTAGTAGAGGGAGGCAGATATGGGAAACACCCAAGCTGAAAGAGGCATTACACCTGAGCCTTGATTTTGCACTGCATTCCCCAAGAACCAAGGCAAAATGTAAGCGTGAATAACTCCCATAGCTCTCTTTGTCTGAAGGAAAGAAAAATCTTTCCTAGATCTCCATTCTAAGGGAAATGATCATGAGTGTCTTAAAGAAAGACTGTAAAGACAGGGTGGGACTTTTGTATGGGCTCTCCTCTCGTCCAAGTCCAGAGCAGACCTGGTGCACAGATGCCTCTACTGGCAGACTCACACCTCTCTCTCCCCAAGGCACACACAGAGAAGGCTGCGTTAGAAGACCGAAGGGGTGAGGGAGTCGGGGGTGGGGGGGACGGTGGTGGTGGTGATGAATGTCTCGGCCAGTCCAGGAAGAGAGCAGAACTTCCTGTAAATCCTGCATGGACACTACAGGGAACATGGAGCCCCAGGCCCCAAAACACTTGTTGTCTGATCTTGGTTTTGGCTCAGGTCATGATCTCAGGAAAGTGAGACGGAACCCTGTGCTGGGCTCTGGGCTCCGCGGCTCATCCACTTGAGATTCTCTCTCCCTCTCCCCCTGCCTCGCCCGCTGCTTGTGCATGCTTTCCCCACTCCCACACATAAATAGGCGACTCTCTAAAAACAGAGACTGGACACAGAAGGCCAGGTTCCCAGAAGCCTCTGACAACACCTGGGAGTGGCGTGGGGCAAGAGAAGCTGGGAGCGGCTCTCGCCTAGTGACACCTGGTGCCAGGTCCTGACCTCAGAACTCAAGGCTTCATGGGACGCCACAGAGTAGGAGAGACAAGCCTTTAGGGACTCCTTCCCCTCTCTCCCAGGACTGCCCCAGGGAGGACAGTGGCCTAGCAGCAGGACTCATTCCCCCAAGAAACCCTGGGCTTATTTACCTAAC